CTCGCTCGCTCGCTCGCCCACTCACCCTCTCTGTCTTTGTTCCGTTGCGTTTTGCAAACAAAATCGAAAATAATAAGAAAAACCATACAGTATACATAATCAACGGGACAATACACAACTGAAAGAGTTTGTGAAGTATTTGTCCTAGAGTGAAGCTGTATGAAGTCCACGGAGGTGGAATAACATCATTACACGGCATATCATTATTCCTATCCTGGTGGAGTGAAGCCGTTTGGGCGTAAGGTCTACCAGAGAGAAGCGTGTGGGGGTGTGCCATCAACTTTGAACTCTCAGGAGGATCTATTGTACACGCGTGGGTGTGCGCACACACACACACACACTCACACACACACACACACACACACACACACACACACACACACACACACACACACACACACACACACACACACACACTTCACTTTTACTTTTATCCTCCGCTTATACCCTTTGGGTGTCGCGGGAAAAAAGAGACGACTCTCTGCCACCAGCCGGAGAGCTTGGGTCAGGGGGATGTCATGAGTTGAACCCACTTTGAACAAACAAAAAAGCAAAGAAATCAAAGTGAAAAAAGGCTTTAATTCTCTGAATAAAGCTAAAATACAACAGTGAACACTTTTAGACGTAGAAGGCAACTCCTCGGCAAAACTGGGCGTCTGTCGTAATTCTTTAGGGACGTAGTGGACACCTAATTATGCCCGATAAGCAGCAGACCAAAGGCGACGTTTCGGCACATTTCGAACCATCATGCACAAATCAGAAACACGAGCCTGCATATTATTATATCATAGCATGCATATTGTTGCTTATTATAGACAGCGAATGATTTTGTCAGTTTGTTGCTGTTTGAGCGCTTAATCGGTTGCTTGCAATGTATTGTTTCCCGGGAAGCCGAGAATGTTTCTGAGTGGTATTCGAGGGTCGTGCATAGAGCCTCCTGTCGAGCAGGGGTATGCGCTATGCTATTTATTATTTATTATTATTATTATCATTATTATTATTATTATTATTATTATTATTATTTATAGTAATTATTTTTTATTTTTTTTAAGTTTCGGATAAAGAGGAGGAAAATGGAAGAATCTGATGTATGGTAGTTAAGTTACGCCCCCAAACAGAGCATTTCCAAACGATGTCGAATAACCAGAATGTGCGTTCTCAAATGGTTAATTAGTCTGTTGTTCTCTTTTCCTTGCAGAAGACGGCTGGAAAGTGTGTACCAGTCTTTGAATGACCCTCCCAACCCTCTACCTTTCACTCTCAAGATGTTGTCCTGTAATGTAAGTGCTCACGACTTGCGCTTTCTGGCCGGACTGAAGCTCAGCCGGTCGACTGGAGACATCAGCTCCTGCAAATCTGTCGGGATGGGGGAGCAGTGGAGGGAGGAGTGTGCTAGGGACATCGGCGACAGGTGAGGGTTTTTTGGCTGTTGTGACTAGGAAGGGGGGGGGGAT